GAATGAATCGCGGAGGTTTAGATGTTATATCATTATCCAATATATAATAACCTCTACGCTCGAATTGGATTATGTCACCTGTTGATTTATAATAGATAAATATAGTGAAACGATAACTAATATGTTATCGTCCTTTAAGGAAACCAACCTTTTTTCAAGTCTTTTACATTCGAATCGGCAATGGCACCCGTTAGGAATTCTGTCTTTTTGGTCACGTGGTCCTCTACTTCATCATTCTCTTCTAATTTACGTTTATTAATCAAGTAATCATAATCAACCAACATTACTTCAACTACTTCAGGAGTATCAGCCAACCAAGTAATCTTCTTTTTGGTTTTTTTAAAATCACCCTCTAAATGTAATTGTAATTCTCCAGTGGAGATCAGTTCTGAATTGGAATCTGATTTGTGAAGAGCTTTGACTATGACATTTCCCCAATCCATAAGTGTGATCTTGTAAAATATTCATTTAAAAATATTAGGAACTTTGCTTAAAATTCAATCTTATAAAGTAAGAAAATTTTACCTCTTCATCAATTTCAAACGTCTTGGCGTCGTCTTGATCAATAAAAATGGTCGAAGAATACCAGGTTTTTTTCATCCCAACATCAGCATTTTTTTTATGCTTTGGTAAGTCCTTAGAATGAGGATTTTCAGGACCATCTTGTATTTTGAATTTGACACTAATAAAGGTTGATTATAAATAAACTTACAATTGATAAAATATCCTAAAAAAAGACCACTTACAGGTTCTGTTTGAGAATAGAAGTATGTCTTGGAGCCAGTGGGTCAATAACTGATTTATTTAATGCCCACAATTTATCCCATTCAAGCATCACAGTATTTTGCGATGCACCTTGTGTAAGAATGTATTGTCTCAAAGCCTCCACAGTCATCCCGCGTCTGCGTATGCCTAAATGTATTCGAAGGATGAGTGAGTGAAAGATTAGATGTATTAAGAGCTATTTATATTTCTTACCGCGAACAGTGGGAAATCTTGGATCATCCCATCCTTCAACAAGACCTTCATTGACAAACCATTGGAGTTTTCGTTTTGATAGCAAAGTGTATACAAAATTCATCCGACTATAATTTTTTAAAAATAAACTGTTGATATAGATCACATATTACTTAAAAGGTTTGAAATAATTCTAACCTGAAATCCCATATATGAACTTTTTTCAGATCTAATGCCTGAAGCATCCACTCATATTGTGCGTTACGATCCCGATACTCATTAGTTCTCAAGGCATGAGTAACACCCTCCAAAGAATCAACAATTGGGCACGCAAAATCGTATGTTGGATAAAGTTTCCACTTATTCCTACAATCATGTGAAATGTATTGGTTTGAACTTTAAATTAGATCAAAACTGGTAAATGCAATTTTGAAATTTATACATACCCCGTACGATGATGAGGCAGCAAATTACATCTGTAAATAACGGGGTCACGTAAAGCCTTGTTTGGATTTTTCATGTCAATTTTCGCACGCAGGCAACAACTTAAACCCTACTTAACAGTTAGACTTGAACATAGTAATATTACATAACATAAATTGAATCATTATAAAATTAATATCTACTTACAAACTCGGTGCCTTTTGTCATTTCATCAAACCTTTGAAGATTTTTTTCGATTGATAAATCTCGACATTTAGAATCAATACCATCCATTCTTTGTTCGCGCATCTAATAATTTTAAATAAAATAAATTTTTAGTTTGAATTTTTATTCATCACGTGTCTGTAAAAATATGAATAAAATCTCTGAAAATACCGTATTAACATCAGTATCATCCACATATGCTAATCCCTTTTTGATCATTTTAATGGCAAACTGGTAAAGCTCCTCAAAGTGGTCAGATGTATAAGTCTGCAAATCTGCATGTATACCGAGAAGGGCCAGATCCTCTTTGATCGATTCTTCAAACTCCTCCTACATATATAGTTTAATCATTAGTTGCCTTTTTTAAAGTTTAAATTAAAAGAGAATCAACCTTTTCTTTACTAGGATTTGTATCGTCAAATCTGACAATCATTTTTCCTTTGTACTCTCGAGCAAAATATTGGTTTAACATTGCTGCTTTAGCATGACCAATATGAAGATATCCACTAGGCTCAGGAGGAAATCTGGTTACGACCTTTCCTATTTCCGCATCGATAAG